TTCCTTCCTTCCTTCCTTCCTTCCTTCCTTCCTTCCTTCCTTCCTTCTTCCTTTCTGATATACTACAATCAAGCTACGTTTTGGAAAGAGGCCTCAAACTTTCTAAAATCAATGTGAAAACCTTAATGAGCTCATTCACATGAAGCAGCAGCAGTGACTAACTGATTCTGTACATTGCACCTTGATATCGGACGTGGAAGGGTTAGAAATCCTTCAGAGATTTCCGCAGCGTCCCACCATTCTCCACACAGAGCAGTTCCCTCGGGAAGAGCCACGGGAACAAGTGAGTCACAACTTCACAGACAGCGTCTGAAAGTAACTCGTACTTGGCTGATAGGGATCAAAACCGAGCTTTGCCTAACTGTATAGACAATCCTCTAAACATGCTTGCGATGGGAGAAGCATGCATCTGTGTGGGACATTTAGAACCTTACTTAGAGGTGCAGATGTTTATAGATAAGTACACAGTGCAGCTGTCCCAAAAGCCCATAAACCTCATCATGCTTACTTACAGCCAAATACTTGCTCCCGTGTCCTTGATATTTCAAAGTATTCATTGTGTTAGAAATAACAAACATACCCTTTTTTTATACACATTAGTCACTGCTTGTATTGAAGACTTATCACTTGATTATATAATATATGCTCTAATATAAAATGAGTATAGCATTACGCAATTGGTAGCTACAAAGATATGCTTATTTTATAAGGGAAAGAAGATACAATAGAAGACAAAGTACAATGTAAAAACTTACATAATCATCTATAAACAGATATACCATGATAAATACAGGGACATTTCTGTATTTCAATGCTGAATGTTCTTTATAAATAAGGAATCTAGCTGGCTTATCTTCACTTAATTGAGTACTCATTTTTGAGATTTTTTTTTTATTCCCCAGGTGTCAAACACTGGGCCTTATAAAGAGAGAGGAAAGCTGGCTAACTATGCAGAGTTTCATCTTCATCAAACGATAGATCAGAACCACTGTAAAATATTGCAGACATCATCAATTCCCTCATATTACAAATTATATTACAGAGAGCCTGAGAAGTGAAGGGGCCCCTTGAAAGCTGCACCACAGTGGCACTGTGGACCTGGCACCAGGCGGTCCACCTCCAACCCCGAGCTCACTCTTTACCACTTTGTTTCCTCTCCTAGGCACGAAGTTTTAAACTTGAATGGACACAGATATAAAGCACCAAATATGTACACATTTAAGATAGCTTCGGAAGGGGGAAATGAGACATTTAGGATTTATTTCTCTTCAAGATAGGTAAACTCTCTCCTTCCTTCTGATATGTTAGGATGAAGGGCTCAACCCTCATTACCTCCTTGACTTAAAAAAAAAGAAAAATCACTTTGATAAGGAGCACAGAAGCATGCCCACAGCTGAGTAAGTTTTCCAGCTACCAGTGGCACATGAACAGCACAGCACATTAGAATGTTTTCAGGCTTGCAGCAGGAAACAACTTGTCTGGCAGAGCAGCGGAAGAGGCAATGCCGGGAAGAAAGCAGGGCGGCTACTCTGCATGTCTCACAGGTGTGGCTGTGCTGCTCAGAGCTGGGGACCAGCAGTCAGATTTTTGCAGAAGAGCAGGTGGCAGCCCCATAGCCTGCTCTCTCCTCCCTTCACTTTGAAGGAGTTAAGGGCCTAGTGTAGATTAATCATAACCCTTGATAGCTCTGCTAAATCTCACTCTCTAGAACTTCTAACAAATGAAGTTTCTTTGATCAGAACTAGTTATCCTTTCCTAGCAAGGTCCCACAAGGCATGAATTCCCATTAATTACAGTGAACAACAGACCCAGGTGCCTCTTAGTGGTATACCTAGGGGGACAAAGGGGATTTTTGATTTACTAAGGACAGTCAGGATTTCATGACTGAAAAGCATCCAAATGTATGTTAAGAGTAACCATCCTAATTATCTAGTTTGAAGTCTGCTTTCCTTTTCTTAAACATTACTAAGCTAAAATATTCAAAAAATAAATTCTTTTTGGTAGTAAGCTACATACCATTATTTCCCATATTTGTGACATTACTATTAAGTGCAAAGGGTCAGCTATCGTTATTCAAAATGTGTTGTAACCAAGATAGCAGATACCAGCATTTGGCACAAGGAATATTATCCTGCCTGTCTTCACAAAATGTTTTTGTTGTGTTGACATTTTAATTTAGCACTCAGAGGCCAATTAATAACTGAAAGTCTTACCATTCTGTTTGGCCTTGTGCATAAAAGGAGTTTGATATTTTCTCCTCCATCCTCACATCTTCTCTTAGAGAACATCACCCCTTTTCTCTTGCAAATGGAATCTGTCCCACTCTATGCATTTAAAAAATGTAGGAAAACAACCACTTGGTAGTCACCACGTTGCCAGGCACCGAAAAAGAAAGAGCAGAAAGCACTGAGCAGTCTGTGCTCCTGATGCAGGAGAGCATGCCTGGGGACAGTTATGTGATCGTGGCTAAGAGGTACTTCACAAGTTGCTCATAGCCCATCAGCACTCATAACTAGTTTTTAGATTGGCATGCAAATTGTTCTGAGGGAAATTCTTATTGCCTCTGAGACCCTGCCATTCTGAGTTATTTGACAGTTTAAGGGAAATCATAATTAAAAAAAAAAGACATAAATAATAGCCTGTGCAGTGTGCTGTGCAGAAATAAGTAGAACCGTTTCATTTAAACTCTGGTGAGCTTTTAATTGCCTGGATTGCATTGTGAGAAGGCCTGACGGTTGATTGCATCCATTATGTTCCCTTGTTCTGTGCCATTCATCCGCACAGTCTTAGCTTCAGTAGTTAACACAACAAAGTAACCACAACTCCACAACACACAGGGGCTTAAAAATAACCACAATAATGAAAGATGTGCAGGGCTTAGGCACAGTTTTTTTTTTTTAAACATGTATGTATTATTTGGACTGATCACACAGAATGAATGGAAAACGTTTTTGTTTTTGTTTTTCCCTTTCAGAAGATTTACAGAGGACAATTTGGGAGAAGTAGAAGGGGCCCCATCAAGAAGGGCTGTTGGAAGAGAGGATGCTAAAATTGGGACCGCAGGTTTCGCAGCTGGGAGCAATGACATAGATTAAAAGAATTTGGCCAACACAGCCTTTCGATTGCCAAGAGTACCAAACAAAAGATTTTCTCTCCTCCTGCCCATCTTCATCCTACTCCCACTCACTCCCCCCAACCCAGCCTGGAAAACTGGATTGGGCCTAAAAGCTTGTTTCTCTCTCTTCACTGGCCCAGAGCACCCCTACAGGCTGCAGCGCCCTCAGGGAAAACAATGCAAATAGATGTCCCCAAATCTCTAGCTCTGGAGCTGCTTAACTCTGTTCTGCCCCTTCAACTCCCAGCCCCCTCCGTGTCCTTCCACCACCCCTCCCCTTTTTGAGCAATGGAGCTGGGAACCAATTTGATTCCCTTTTTCTCCAATGCAGCTGCAAGGCTCAGAGATACTGACATTTCCCCACTCTTATCAGTTTAATTACAGTTACCATGGCAGCAAAGTGCTAGTGCTTGGCAAAGGCCAACAAGAGATTTGCAAGACTGGGTTCAATTTTGATGCAGCTCACATGCAAAATAAAAAAAAAAAAATAAGAAACATACATACACTCTAACAAAGAGTACCCGTGCGGAGTTTATGACCCAACCTTTTGTGGCTGTGTCTTCGCAGCAACACAGGGGTGGTTTTGCAAAGAATATGCCAGTATTTGTGGGCACCTAGCGAGATTAATTGGTCGAAAGCAGCGGTCTTTAAAAGCAGAAGCAACAATAAAATTTTGTATCTTCAGCAGTAGAAGAGCAGGCAGGCTTTGCTGCTAGTCACGAGTGAAGAGCGCCCCGAAAAAGTGCATCTATGGTAGCCGGTCACCTTACCAAAACTTTTCTCCTGTTTCTGCATGAGTTGACTTAGGCTTGCCTGAATCGCCGCAGCTTCGCATGGAGCACCAAACCCGGAGGCGGAAAGTAGAAGGGGGGGAATGGCTTGGATTTGGGGCCCAAGCGTAGGTCTGATGAGCAGCATCCAGGGCCCAGGATCCACTATTGTGAAGCCACTTTGGGAGCTAGGGTCTAGTGACTAGGGAGGCAGGCGGTGGGGGAAGGGACGAGGGAGCGGAGTAAAATGATGGCGAATGACAAAGCCACATGCTTCCCTAACTCTGCCCGTAATCCTAAAATCCCAACGGCCCCTTTTAGCTTCCTGGTAACAAATGGATTTGATTAAACCGTCACACGCAGTGTTAGCATAGCATATCGTGTTCGGTATGAAAAAGATCATAAATCTGACTTGTGTTTCATAACAGCAATCTGAGTAGCCACGGTTAAAATGTGCTGAATCTCTCTCGACCTGTTTGGATGCAGGCACTTGGGTACAGGGAACCTTCCTCCACTGAACACTGTCCCCCTTTTTCATGCCCCAACACAGTCACTTTTGCAACATACAGAAACAGTGTTTTATTATTAAGCCTGCGTTGGGAGAAGCAGGAGTGTAGACAAAAAACGAGGTTGTAATTTCAACTCTTCCTTGGGGCGGGGGTTGGAGGGGGCGGGGGACATAAATTTCATCAAGCAGGCATAGCGAGTTCTGAGAATATACCCAGGACTAACACCACTTCCCAACAGCCCACCGCCCAACCTTTGTAAACTGTCCCAACCCCTCTCCTAGAGTCAGGGTGTGTGAATTCTGCAGCTCTCAATGAACTTTGTCTATTATGCACTAGACTCCTACTTGAGATGTAACCGCAGCCGCGCGCTCCCTCGCTTCCTCCGGCATCCACATCTTCCGCCGCACATCTATTTCAGGTCTCATCATAAAAATAATGATGCCTCCCATGATTTAAACAAAACAAACAAACAAAAGCCCTCTCTGCAGACCTGCAGCCCCATGAAAGTTGCAGTGGTGACGGTTTCGGGAGCAGCTTTACTTTATAGGCATCACTGGGAGAGGATGGGGAAGGAGAAGGGGGGGAAAACAGCTAACATCCGCACACGCACGCGCGCACCCGCAGACACACACAGCACAAATAAGCCAATGCGTGTGTACCCAGCCTCTCACTTACCTTCTCAATTAAGCGATATAAGGGAGGGTGTTCAGTGAGCACAGCGGCTGCTTGGTAGTGCTTCTCCTTGGGAAAGGTCAAAAAGAAACATTGTTTGAAAAAAAAGGGAGGTGGAATCTCTATTTTTTTTTTTTTTAAGTTTAAAATAATGAGGTCCTCCAGGATCCGCCAAGTATCAGTGTGGACCGCATGCGAGCCACAGGTGTCCTTCTTTTAGGCAAGTGCTGTCCGGGGGATGTCTCTCTTGGTCTTGGCTCCAGACAACTTACCCCAGCAGCCTGCGAGGAGCCCTAGCTGAAGGAAGCCCTGGCTCTCAGCCGCAAAATGCAATCCCTTCCCAGCCAGACATAATACAGCCCAAGAAAAGGTCACCCAGTTATTACAGCGCCACGGAGCCCAGGCAGCGCCTGTCAGGACCACAGTGGAGGCAGCTCCCTTCCGATTTAAGAGTATTTACCTCTCGCCCCCACCCCTCCCTCTTCTCTCCCTTCCTTCTCTCCCTCCCTCTAGCTGGCTCCCTTGCTGGCTGGCTCGCACGCTTGCAAGCGTGCTCTCTCTCTCCTCGCGCGCGCTCTCTCTCTTTCTGTCTCTGCTGTCTGTTCTGCAGCTCAGTCAAGTACAGCCGCCCTCGGAAAGCGCAAAAGCAACCACGAGACAGATCCAGGCTTTGTTGCTAATTTCCCAGGGTGAAAATTGACAAGCCTGCGAGTGCAGTCAGCACAACCCCTTGCATATGCTACTGACAAACGCTGGGGACATCCCTTCCCACCCGTCCCCATCACGCAGAAAATGTGACCTCTGTAGGACCGGACTCTGGAAGAACCCTACCTCCAGGACTCGCCCTCGAGAAGAACTGCTGAAGAGCTATGGAGGAGAAGGGTAGGGCTTCCTAAAATAACGGGGGTATTTTGGAATAGGATGGGCACATTGAGAGCAAATTGCCCTCTAAATCTGTTACTGACAGCGCCAGTGGAGGAAGTTTTAAAATACAAGCCAAGGAATCAAAGTGCCACCAGGGTACACTCGGGGGGGAAAAAAATTCACAGTGCTCACTTTTAGTATATGTCTGGGGGCGGGAGGGTCTGCAGTTCCCCGGGCTGTGAATTCCGTTCAGAAACTCTGAAGTGCCTGCTCAGAATGTCTTGACACACAAACCCAGTCCAGGCAGTGCCCCTCCCAAACCTTTCTTCTCTCTAGTAGCCCAAGAGCCAGATTGTGAACTTGTGTCCCACAGCAGGTGCCGAACCCAAGATGTTTACTGAGACACAACTGCAGATATTTGGATACTGTAATTTAGAACCTGCTTCAGTGCTAGCCCCCAGGAACCCCAAGCTGCTCCTCTGGCCACTCCCCACCCCTTACATTATACCCTGCTTATTTTGAGGCCTCTACTGATGTTTTTATTTTGTCTGAAAGAGATCCCTTTCCCCCTAAAGCTTCCCTTCACTCTTCTTCTCTGCAGGTCACTAGTAGCTGTAAAAGATCTTCTTTTACTAAGTTTCAAACTTCAGTTATTGCCCCTTTTGGCAGCTCTTGCAAGGCCTCCTCAGTGGTTCTTACAAAGCCTTGTCAAAAGGTCAAGCTTAAAAATAGTGCAAATTTGAATGACACTGGCTGAGACGTTTTAAGCACCAAGAAAGATTCAATTGTTGAACTCCAAAAAAAAAAAAAAAAAAAAAAGAACACCTCTTCTTCAAACAAAACTTCTTTTCCACTTCTGCACCATCAATTCTAGGTGATTATATATATACATATATATATGAATATATAAAATCACCTAGAACTAGATTATATATAATAAATATATATCAAAGCAGGCCTCTTGAATATTTATGCTAAATTATGCTTCCCTGTATCCAGAGTTCTGGGACAGCAAGGCTAATTTCTCTTTTAACCCCAACCTTCAGAAGGCTTATAAGAAAATAGTATGTGGCTTGCTTTCTTCTCCCTTTCAAAGGCAACAAAACTCAGAACTAACCTGAAAAATAACGGAATTAATAGACTGGCAGATTACTGAGAACCCTTTCAGCTGTTTAGTCTACAAGCAGACTTCCTAAGTTTGAGATTTTTCTGGCCCTACAACTCAGAAGCTCGAACACACACACACATACATTCACAGACACACACACACACACACACACACACACACACACACACCTCACCCATCTAAACAGCTCCCTGCTGGTCTATCCCACCTCCCAGCCACAGCTACTCCGAAAGCACCCGTGTGTGTGTGTGTGTGTGTGTGTGTGTGTGTGTGTGTGTGTGTCTTGCCTGTTCTCTCTAGCAGCCAATGTACTGAGAAGAAAAGAGGGAGGGAGGGAGGGAGGGAGAAGTATGTGTGGGGAAAGGGAGAAATAAAATCAAAACAAATGGTACAGCTAATGAGGACAATTAAATTAATTATGTTCAAGGAGGATGAGATTTTTTTTCCCTCCAACTGTATGATCTGTTACCCCTCGCTGGCAACTGCTTCTCCGTAATTCATGGCAACTGATGAGTGCATCTATGCAAATCTTTGTTTAAATCATTCAACTAATTAAATGATGGGATTATTCCTCTGCCTACGGTGACATCATTCGCAGTAATTAGTACTCTTTTGGACTGTGGCAGTAAGATCCCCCATATCAACACCAACCTGCAAAGGCATTAACCACTTTGATACCTTAAAAAAAAATAAAAAATAAAAGGGCAAATATCCAGAGCTCTAATTGTATCCCATCCCCTTCCTCTCCCTCCCAAATTTTCCTTTTCCTCTCAGGTTTAGCATATACCCCATGCTTGTAGAGAGAGGGAGAGAAAAAGAGGGAGAGGGAAGGGGGGAACTTAGTGAATAATATGCTAAACCACATGTGTAAAAGAATAAAATGGAATAGTTAACATTCAGCTCCATGCCATTCATTTTCCCCTAAAATGTAATGATAATTAGATGGGTCATAAAATGCTCTTCTTTTCATTATGACTGATGAAATGCATTAAAGCTGACAGGGTATTACCTGACAGTAATTAGGTTTTGTCATGAATTAAATTATTTGAAAGCAGGCTATCTCCCCAATCACGCAATTTACAGCAAGATTTTTTTTAATCTGTGCCACAGAAGAGAGAGAGAGAGATAGAAAATAGCAGTTTTTCTCTTCATAATCATATGAATTATTCACAGGAAAAAAAATCATCAGAAAAACCGTGTGCAGATGAAGAGGCTCGCCTCTTAATGTGCCCAGATGTGATCATCAGTGGCCGCCAAGAATGAAATACACAAAGTGATCTGGTGAACAAGAGGTGGAATTTAATCTTCTTCTCCTGACACTTTGTGCAAAACACCATTAACCCTCAGCAAACCCCCTGTTTTCCTGGCTCCCCCCAACCCCGAAACCTCAGCCTTCGCCACCCCCACCCCCCTTGCCAGGGAAAAAAGTGAAAGAAGAATTTGTGCTTTTGTTTACTCAGCCAAGCTAAAGGTTGGATCCAGCCAGGCAAGCACTTTCTTCATTTCCTGAGAGTAAACTACCCACTTTAATTACACATGCTTCGGAAATCTTTGCAAAAGGATTGCCACCACCGAGAGCCACATCTTCTTGGTCCCATTATCTTTTGCAACTTATCATACATTTGATGACAGTATTTAACTCGATTCATTCCACATATCCTAACACTTAAAGGGGGGGAAAAAAAAAAGAACCAAAAAGGTAGGCTATCTTTTCCTGGGCTCTTATATTCCTTTATGTGGAGATGGTAAGGGGGTGGGAGTGGGGGTGGGGGTGGTGACAGAATGCTGGGGGAGGGTTTCAAAGGGGTGATCAGACATACGCTACTTACCTTTGCTCAAAAGAGGTCTTGCACAAGGAAACAGTGTATGTGTGTGTGCCTGTTTCTAAATACGTCTTCAAGTTTTCAGCCGTCTCTTTCTGCAAAACGCACCTCTCAGAGAACTTTTGTGTGGGGGTTGTTCAGGAGTGATTTCTGTAGCGTCCCAAGGATGTGTCTGTGAGGTTGGGAGGATCAGACAGGTTGTTGCTCTAGGCAGGCGGAAGAAAGCAAACCCTCTAGACGTCCAGGTACAGTCAAAGGTGTCAGTCAGGGGAGGGGTGCAGTTGACGAGGCCCCCTGCTCACACACTCCCACCATCACGCCTGGAGATGCAGCCACACAAGAGAAAGGGCCTCTTGCTTCCGCCTCCCTCGTTTTCCTGGCGAGCTTTTCTCCTTCTTACTTTCTTCCCGAACTGCATACAAACCCTGAGTGGGCCAGAGCGGCTCCTCCAGTATTTAAACACCTCGCCAGGTCCCTAGTTAGCAGCTTCCTCCAGCTCATCCAAGAAGCTGACAAGTGCTGTTAAAGGAGGCTGTACATGCTGCTCTAATGGACCTCATTAAGTTCTACTTACAGATGTTCTCTTAACATAATTGATCTGCGGTGAGTTGAGAGGGCTGCAACTTATTCCCTAGCCCCCAATTATGGTTGGGTAATTAGATCCCCAACCTCCAATTTTTCACATTCACCCTTCTAACATTCCAAAATATCAAAGTATCTCTCTCTCTCCAAAGCTCCCCCTTACCGGACTCCACTCTCCTCACTGTATTGACAGTTAGATCTGCTCTAACCTTTGTAGTGACGCCAATTTTAATGGTGCATTCAGACCATTGACAGAGCGGCGTTTCTCCCCCAGCCTCTCTCCTCTCCTCTCCACACACCACCCCCTCCCACCCCTCAGCCCTCAGAAACAAAAGGGTAAAAGAAAAAAAAAAAAAAAAAAAAACCTCTAACTTGTATAGTTTGTACTTTTGATAAAAGGTTTGGATGATGAGCCGTGGCACGGCCGCTTCCTTTCCAATGTCTTTTTATCTGTATTAATTCCTCAGATGAAAACTTTAAGGAACAATGAAGGAGAGAGGTGCCGCTCTGAACCGGTGAGAAGAAAAAAATTACACAGCACACCTGGGACAGATGAAGCCAAACTCGTGCTTTTATAATGCCAATCAGCGCGGCTGTTATCATCCCTCTAATTAGGAAAGCAGCCTAAAACAGAGCGCACTTGGGGAAATGGTAATGTTATGGTTTTGCACTTAAAAGGAGGCACATTTCCTGCTCTGTAAGGATCTGGGATTGGGGCTGACAAGTCCTTTAATTAATGGCAGGATTCCCTGTGTGTGCTTGTTTTAATTCATAAAAGTGGACAAAGGGTTCTAGGAAGGGGGGTGCTGTGGGAAGGGGGGGGGAGAACCCATTAGTTTGAAGATGAGCAGAGTTCATAGCTACATTCATTTTTTTTTCTTTCTTTTTTAAATCCCCAAAGGACTAAGGTTGCAGAACTGGAGCGAGCTGTCCCCACATCTCCCACTCTGAAGAAAAGCTTAAGACCACAAGGCAAACACAAAGTTCTTAGATAACTCACTTTTTCAAGCAGGCAACTCTTGTCTCTGCTACAGCCCTTGCCACTGTCTTCTTGGGCAGGTGTACTTCGGAGTTCAGCTTGGCTCCTGTGCACAGCTCCTCCTGAGGAGGGCACTGGGCTCTTCTTGAATTTTCCGGTATGGAAGACATATGTGATGTCAATTAGCC